TTTTTGTTTCAGGAAGAAGATCATATAAATGTCCTTACTGTGAAAAAGTTTTCTTCCGAGCCAATTCTGAGTTACAGAAACACATCTGGATCCATGAGGGTATTAAGCCCTACAAGTGTCCTCTCTGTCCACATTCCTGCCGTAGTAAGAACAACCTACAGGCACACATGTTACGTCACACAGATGAAAAACCTTACACATGTAATGAGTGTGGTAAACCGTACAAATCCAAGACAGCGCTACGGTGGCATGTGAGATCTCATACAGATGGAAAAATGTTTAAATGCATGAAGTAAGTGCTTATGAGTGGAAAATTATGTAGATGTGTTTTGTTTGTTTGTATTTTAGCCTTATCAACACTATCTTAAGGTAATCATCTTCAATTTTTTTAGGGTTTTTAGCAGAAGACTTTTACAGTAAGAATCCCTTTATGAACCCTGGTATTTGTATATACTTTAGCAGAAAACTTTTACAGTAAGAATCCCTTTATGAACCCTGGTATTTGTATATACTTTAGCAGAAAACTTTTACAGTAAGAATCCCTTTATGAACCCTGGTATGTGTATATACTTATGGAAAGGGTTTTAAACAATATTAAGCATTTCAACCTATTTTTTCATAAAACCTATTTTTGCAAATAAGATTAAATCCAGTTTAATTTACGAAAAAAAAATTTAAAATTTGAAATATTTTAAAATATGAATACTAAATTCTGATTTCAGATGTAATTATGAAGCCACACAAAGAAGTCACTTAAAAAGACATATGGAGACTCATGATGTTATAAAACGGTATGGATGTCAACATTGTGACTATTCTGCCAACACTATTGGTTACATGAAAATACATTATACCAGATCTCACAAAGGGGAACAGTTTGTGTTCAAGGAGTCAGAATCACCAGCAAAGAGTGATTCCCAGTTATACAGGTGTCTCAGCTGCGATTATCTTTTTGGTAATTTGTCAGACCTGAAGAGACATTTGAAGATTCGCCATCATCTCCAGTTCCAACAGATTCAGGGAATTGATCAAAACTCTTCTGAAGTTCAGGTGAGAGAATTGAGTAATTTTAAAGTTCAAATGAGAGTACTCTATTATTTTTGAAGGACACATTTTATGTTAAGTCAATCAGACAGTTGATAACATATACTGTAGGCCAACTTATCTTTTTGGATACTTCATTTCTTACTATGCCTTTCTAGCCAACTTTGCTGCAATTTATTTTCGCAATTAGCTAATTTTCTTGATGTATTAAAGGAGAATTCCAAGCTTTACAGATGATTTATACTGTTATTTTTTTTTTTTACAACTCTTGAAAATAAATTGATCACAAGAATTATTTGGTTTACAGTAGTAGGACATTGATTTTGACAAAATATATCTCAATAAATTTATTATTCAATTGATGTTTTGATACCTTTAAACTCTCTAGCTCTTTACATTGGGTTTTGTTTCCTCCTTGGTATCTCCCCCCTTTTTAAATTTTTGATCATCATTATAGACAAGTTGCATAAATTGTTCAACAGCTCTTTCATTTAAACAAAAACATTTAGCATTTATTTTATTGGTTCTCCTAGATTGAACTTCTTTAATGTTAAAAACACACAAATATGTTTCAAACTGTGATTGACTGAATTGATGGTTTGAATGCTGCATACTATAGCAGAAGCTTCATATTTGAATGAACACAGATCAAAAACAGTAAAGAACTCTTTAAAGTAGTACACAAGTTTGTTATAAAATACAGAAATAGCTCTAAACTGCACTTAAACTGAGCATTCAGTGATGTTTTGTGAATGGCTAGTTCCTATCTATTCAGATGATGTCTAGTGTACATCTACCTCTTTTTAGCTCTTCAAATGAATAATGTATTCTTCTACAGGTGATACAGTGTGATAGTGCTAATGTTGAAGTTGAGGAATCTATTTCCAATGATATAACACAGCCTATACAGACTGCTGGTAAGTTAGTTACCTTTTATTTAACTCCCGAGTCCATCTGTCCATTCAGTGAAATTTTTGTTGCATTTTTCTCAGGAACTAAAAATCAGAGCTTTCTGATTTTTTGTATCAAGCTTCATGGCCTGTGTGATGCTTGTTTATACCTATTGCTTAACTGCCTGTTTACTGAATACATATATATTCTTACGCTTAATTGACATGTAAGAATTTTTCATCACATTTTTCTTAAGAGCTACTGATCATACCCCTCTGAAATTTGGTTGTAAAGCTTCTTAAGAGTATGCTATATAGTGTGGTGGATTTTCACAACCATTGCTCATGAACTCCTGTTTACTGAATACTTATATATTCTTACACTTAATGTTCATGACAATATATGAATTTTTTTACTTTGAAACTACAAATCAGAGCATCCAGAAATGTGAGCATGCTATATTGTGTAATTTAGGAGAATCCCATTATATGAAACCCATAACAGGCCAAAATGACCTTATTTTGAAGATTTCTCTAATTAGTGTTTGTTTTATTTTTAAGATACCCCAATAGATTTATTAGACGAGAAAACAGCATCAGCAGTAAATATCCTACAACAAATTATCAGTATGCAAAATCAAGTAAGTACAATATCAACATTTCTGGTCTAGTTGTCTAGTTTGATTGGAGTAGATAGATTGAAGTAGGTGATTAACCATGATTCAGGCTGCTGCTGCATGCTGCAACTGATTTGACATCACATGTATTATTTTGCCTCTTGTCCAAATGTTACAAAAAAACATCCTTGTTTAGATTTTTAGAAAACCAGTGACTTAAATTTTGCTGATTTAATATTAGCTGTATATTCATTAGCATTAATTTTTTCAGGTTTCATATTTAATATTTTCATTAAGTACTGTTTTTAATTGGTACCTATAAGAAGACAGGATATATGTTAGTGCTTATAAAAAAAACCTGTCTAAACAAGGAAATTACAAATAAATGAAAAGAATAATGCTTTTTATTGTTCTTTGTTTTGTCGCTTGCTGAAAGGTATTCTTTCCTCAACTAAACACATCATAGCTTCCATATCTTTTTAGGTACTTTGAAAGAAGTTATAACCAGTACATTTTGAAAATAAATACTTTCAGATGACAATATTACAGCTGTAAACTTAGTACTTGACATTTTTGCAGAATAGTACATTTGAAAATGAATGCATAACTACTTATATTTTAGGGTGCTATAGCTCCCCAGCAGTTTACTGTACAGTCAGATGATGGTCAGATTTTGTCTGTTAACCCTGGCTCCATTATTGTCCAGGATGGACAGGAAGTTGTGGTTTCCAATGGCAACACGGATGGTAACCAACAGTATGTTATTCAGTACGTCACTCCACAGGATGGGGTTGTAGATGATACAAACATGGTGGAAGTACAAACTGTACAGAGTCATCCATTACAGGAGATAGAAATTGAACCTTCACCTTTGGACGTGGATGTTAATGCTCTCTGATGAATTATATGAAAGTGCTTTGTTTAATTGAATTTGTATAAAAAAAAATAGTTCCCAATTGTTGCTGAGTAAACAAGTTCTTCCTGAACTTTTAAGCTTTGTATAGTATTTATTCTGTTGAATAATTTTAAGTATGAAAATAAATATAAATCTTAATACGGATTTGGAAATGCAAACTTACAGATTCTTGATTTTCTGCTATCTATTTTATATCTTTTGTTATGAATAAAAGGAGATGTAGAGTTTATGTGAATGAGACATCAGTGGTTGATGATCAACCAAATGACAATGGTAACCAAAAGACATCTAGAGGGCAACACACAATAGGTGTCTATACAATATGCCAAGCTTGAAATGATCTATAATGGTTGTGAATGTTACAAAATTAACCAGAAACAATCAAAGTTCTATCATTAACACAAAATTCTCTAAATTACACACAAACATTAAGATATGACAAAAGTCTGACTGTGAAGATTCCTGAATTGTGACAGGGACATTTAAATGAGTTTGAGGGTTTTTTTGAGATCGCAACCATCCACTTTTTAATTTTGATCAGTTGACTCACAAAACAATACAGAATGAATTTACACTTAAATGGAACAAGCATTCAATTAAGATGGAAACTGTGAAATAAATTTTTCCCTTGGGACTTAATTTCATATATTTCCTAGATAGATATTATGCTAATCTGTAAGGAAAATTACTTTCATATCCTGCAAACCTGAAATTGAGATATAACCATTTGCATGGTTCGAACGAACACCTCAGTGTTAACAGGCTAGTGATACATTAGATGAATTATTTAGGCCACTCAGCGACTGAGGCCCTAACAAGACTGTATGCAACTAAACTAAATTCAATGAAGTGTAATAATTTTGGGTTACCAAATTATGTTTCTAATTGCTGCACTTAAAACAGAATTTGTTATTGCCAAATTATTTTAAAACATGCCAGAATGGACTCCTAAGAAATATACCAGAACACAACTAAACCAAAGTGGGATGGATTTACAGAGAAATGAAAGGTTAATCTGGATAGCCCTTACACACATGACATATGCTTCAAAGATAAATCTGGATAGCCCTTATACACATGACATATGCTTCAAAGATAAATCTGGATAGCCCTTATACACATGACATATGCTTCAAAGATAAATCTGGATAACCCTTATACACATGACATATGCTTCAAAGATAAATCTGGATAGCCCTTACACACATGACATATGCTTCAAAGATAAATCTGGATAACCCTTTTACACATGACATGCTTCAAAGATAAATCTGGATAGCCCTTACACACATGACATATGCTTCAAAGATAAATCTAGATAGCCCTTATACACATGACATATGCTTCAAAGATAAATCTAGATAGCCCTTACACACATGACATATGCTTCAAAGATAAATCTGGATAGCCCTTACACACATGACATATGCTTCAGAGATAAATCTGGATAGCCCTTACACACATGACATATGCTTCAAAGATAAATCTGGATAGCCCTTATACACATGACATGTTTTAAAGATAAATCCAGCACATTTTACTAAATTTAATAATATCACAGCACTAAATTTAGTCTCTTCTGTTACTGTTCAATGAGCTTCTCCAATTCAGAACAATTGTACAACCTACAAATAGAAATTAAACATAATTAACTTAAGTAAGAAATAGAAACGAGTTTTAACCAAAAAAAATATTTAGACATCAATAAATAAGGGTTACACATAATGTCTTAAACAATAGACGAGCATATATTGTGCCTAATGATCATTTTTGTTATTCCACTGATTGACAAAATAAGGTGGTTTGGTATTTGTAAAGCACAGTTACTCCTGTCCCCATGTTAATGATCCTGTTCCAAATAAGCAGCCTTGTCCATGGTTGTCAATGCAATTGATTTATTTTTAAATAGAAAAATGGTGTCAACTGCAGATTTTTTCAGGTCTCTCCTGAATTCAGAGAGTATTGCATGGTAATACATAGTCCCCTACTGGTTAACAATTAATTGTACTGGAACAAAATGCTAACTTAATCTATAACTTGTCATGGTGTAAACTATATAACAAATAACAAGTCAATATCTTTAATGACGGAAAAAAGTGTGGAAAACTGATTATTTAAGTGAATTTTCTAAGTCCAAGGACCATAACTCTGCACAAAATCTTCAGACCGGAACAAAATTCGAACTTGGTCTGTAACTTGTCATGATAAAACAATGTACCAATTATTAAATCAATATCTTCAAGCACGAAGAAAAAAAGTGTGGAAAACTGATTTGCCAGACTGATGGATGGACAGACAGACAGACGGACAGAGTGCAAACCTAAAGTCCTCTTCGGTAGGGGACTAAAAAGTTGCATGGGACTATGCAGAGTATACATAAAGATTCAGACCAAATATCAAATCACTTAATACAAAGCTGTGAAATATGGGCTGAAATATTCCAAGCACAGTGTATTATGAAAATTCAAAGTATGGTCAAACAGAAAGTGACTGCATGCAGATCTGATAATCAGCTACCATGTATAATTCAACATTATGGAGTTCCAGACCACATATCAAATCATTCCTTTATACAGAATCTGAGAATTATGTTAAGACAGTGATGGATGTAGAACAGATGGACAATGTGATTTCAGTATACCACCCACTCTGTGAGTGGGGGTATAATTCAATTACCTAAAATTCATTTCTCATGGGCCACTTCACCTGGTAATAACATTACTTTGATATCAATCAGTTATATGCTATATACTTTTCCAAGAGCCATATTTTCTGAATAGATAAAAATCTAAATTGTAAATTATATTTCTATTTACATGTAACTTTGACATGTTTCAGAAATGTTATAGTCTACAACATTATCTTGATGGTAGCAAATAATAGTTATCATCAAGAAACCATTTTCCATATTGATGTTACTTATGTTCAGTACCAGCCATCAAAGTGAAATAACTTGGTCAGTGATTAATGGTCGGTATTATTTAAATAATATACTTTGGATTCATTTACCTGTGTGGGTACCAATTTTCGTGGATTAAGGAAAAGTCATATTTTCGTAGATATTTGATTTCATGTTTTTATGAAAGACTGCATAGAAGCCTATAGAAAATTTGTATTTTGTTGAACATTTAAATTTGTGGTTCACATGTACCCTCGAAATCAACATAAATTGGCAACCCACAAATAAAAATAATTCCACAGTGGAAGAATATCAGCCAAAGCAGCTTGAAAATCTAAAGCATACCTAGAGAATTCCATTCCACCACAACTCCTGAGAACATCTATAGCTTTGACCTCTGTGGTAACCAATGATGTAATAACACCAATCAGACAAAGGAGGGTGTCCTCGTCTACATTTCTGCCTAAAAAAATTAATATATATAGAATAAATAAGAATCAGTGTGAAAACATTTTTAACAGATATTGAACTATGCCTACCAAAAGTATGCCATATTACCCCTGATAAATTTTTATCATATCACTTAGTTTCTGTAAACATTTTGTTACACATTAAATTGCATGGAATTATGTGAGTTATCTCCCCTTATTTTGCCCTACCCTGTTTTTCAAAGTTATTAATGACTGAAATAAGTGAGCTTTAGTTGAGTTTAAATGTGATCAACTTTAAAATACTGATCTGGAAAACAAAAGTACTTTTCGGTTGTTCTATATCCAGGGTTAAAATTTACTTTTGATTGTATCTCTTATTCAATTAAGTATTGGGATTGTTCAAAATTTCAAAAGAAAACAGTCCTTCCTTGAAAAATAGAAGAAAGTGTTCAACAAACAAATATATATAACTGTCAGTTATTTCCCAATGTCTGATACAATTCAAATGTATTAGTTCAACATAAGTGTGAGTGGAAAACTGGACCAATCTGTTACTCAAAATAGAAAGATTGTCTTGATTATCTGCCCTTACCATGTACTTTATTTAACAGTCTAATGATATGTGGCAAGAATCCTGTAGACATCATGGCATACACTAAGGTAGGATACATAGGCAGACATGATGTTGTGGCTGAAAAAATAAGATGATGCACAAGTGAATAAGGACTGTTGTTTAAAGAATGCACTATATTACCTCAAATAAGAAAAAAACATTTATGTTTTTATCTTTTAAGGTTCTGCAGAAACTTCATATCAAACATAATTAACATACAAACTATTGTACTTTATACTGTATCTTAGCCAAAAACTTTGATAAAGGTAATTTATGACATCCACATTCACTGTCAGAGATGAATGTAAAGTGAAATCTGTGGACTTTTTTTTTCAATTTTATAAATCTTTCAATACTGGTTCATCTTACCTCTATTAGTCCCTGTTATTGGATATCCAAAAACGTTCCTTGTAATTTTTTATGTCACAAGCCTCAGTTGAGAAGTGATTGTTGTACAATTTCAATATGTCAAGTGTCACAGAATCCTAAATAGCATCAAGGTCTATACCATGACAGCTGTAGAATGAATGAGTTAACCCTCTTGTGTTCACTTTACAGAACTTTACTATAGATGAGTGATCTGTAAAATCTAAACAGCATCCTTTTACATACTACTTACCTTGAATACATAGATACCAGAGCTGGTATATACTATCCCACACTGGTATATACAACTCTGCTACAGATAAAACTTCTGCACTGTCTACCGTTAAACTTGTATATGGAGCTTTTATAAAGCTTACAACCATGGAAAAAAATTTGGTCAGATCATCTTTATCATCTGAAAAAGAAAAAGTAGTTTAAACATGCATTAATCAATAAATAAATACAAACCTGCCTAAAGAACCTGTCTATGAAGCATTAATCGCCAACAATGGGCATTTCGAATCCAATATATATCAACATTTTCTTATGAATAAAATGTATGTAATGAATCTCTGTATTTAGGGAACCTGTTCATGAAAGACTCTTATCCCCCTTTGATGGCCTTTAGTTTGTTCTTATGTTGAAATGTTACACCACTGTCCAACGTTAGGGGAGGGTTGGGGTCTTCAAACTGGTTTAATCCCGCCACATTCTGTATGTGCCTGTCCCAAGTCAGGAGCCTGTAATTCAGAGCGTTGTTGTTTTTTGCTGTGAATCACATTTGTTTTTCGTTCATTATTTTGTACATAAATTAGGTCATTAGTTTTCTTGTTTGAATTGTTTTACATTTATCCTTTCGGGGCCTTTTATAGCTGACTATGCAGTATGGGTTTTGCTCATTGTTGAAGGCTGCACAGTTACCTATAATTGTTAATTTCTGTGTCAATTGGTCTCTTGTTGAGAGTTGTGTCATTGGCAATCATACCACATCTTCTTATTTTTATATTTACATACAGACATGTATTTGTATCTAAATACATATGCATTCATAAATAGTCCAGTAAGTCCCAGTTCATATAAGAATCATGCAAAATGTAATTCATTCTTATTAAGGAGATTAAGTTATGTTGAAATTCATACATAGTTTTTTATAAATGGACCCTTACAAGGTGAGATATAAATTCTATAGAATGCATTATAAAACTCATTTTGAGGGAGAGAACTCCAATAATGGCATATAGAATCTATTGTAAAATGTATGCCAATTACCTGTCCTGGTAAGGCAGGAAATGCAAAATATTAAACGTTCCTGGCTTTCATCTGCTCTGATCTTGCAACTGATTGACAAAAATAAACAGTTGTAACCCTTCATGAAGTGTATCACAAAATTTAGATTTTGCATGATTCTGATTTGGACTACTACTTAAGAATATACCTACATACTGGTAAATATCCAGTGAATGACTATCAAACACTCTTTATAAAAGTACTACAAAGGTGATAATTCATGTCTTGCAACTTTGATGACAAAGGAGTTGAATTCAATGTGCAATTACTTACAATCAGTGTGTGGGTAAAACTTTGCTCTATGTTACTTTTTTAGCAGTATAATACTTGATTAATGTATATAACATGTAGAAGAATACCCAGTCATATCTACTGCCCAGAATATGTTTTATAGAAGATTATGTATTTGTTCATTCATAAATTTGTAAATGGATTTCAGTAAAAACTAGATATCATTGAGATGGGAGCCATCTCTGTGGGCCCCGCTGTGAATAATGTGTGGTAAAATTTTTTTATCTTTATCATTGGACATGGGGTTGTCAACTGAAACCAAAGTTTTTGACCTTGACCTTTGACCTAGGAAGTTTACCATAAATTATGACACACCCTTTGGTGTTGGTTTATATACATGTCAAGTATAAATTTTGAAATCATAACTGTTCTCTAGATATAGAGCGGACATAATTTGTAACAGACAGACGGACGGACAGACTGATCCAGCGGGGCCCTAATTACCTTAATGGCATTGTGTATTTATTTTAAGTGTAAGTGATTTTGTTAAGTTTTTGAATCAAATATAAGGAATTCCATACACTTTTAGTGATTAATACTTTTTGCAACGTCTTCTAATATGTTGTATTGACAAGGACAAATTTCATATTCAGTACTTTATGCCAATGTTTTTTGTACAATTCTTATTTTATAATCATGAAGCTTTCTTGGATTTAATATCTAAGGCATGGATACTAGCAAGGTAAAAAATGATGAATTCTGCTAAAAGTACCATCATTTCTTGTAATATGTTTTCTGGGTTAATAAGTGAAACTCCATATCTTATTGTTTGATTGATTTTTGGTGATTATTAAACGCCACTTAAAACTTTTCAACACAATGAGCTATTTCATGGCGGTCAGTTTTTATTGGTGGAGGAAGCTGGAGTGCCCAGAGAGAACCACCGACCTTCGGCAGGAAAACTGACAAACTCTATATCATATAAAATCAGTATATTTCTTTATGACAGTCACTGCCTTCCCAAGCTTGGAGCCTGTAATCCAATGGTTGTTATTGGTTGCTGTCTGCTATAATTGTTTTTTTTTGTGTTCATTTTGGTAGTATAAATCAGGATGTTGATTTTCTCTTTTTGTTTCACATTTAGTCATCCTGAGGCCATGTGCCTGAGGCCTTTTAAACAGTATGTGTTTGTTCATTGTTGAAGGCTATACGGTCACCTAAAGTGTTTACATCCTTGTTCTTTGGTCTTTGATAGATAGTTATCCCATTGGCAATCATATCACATCATCTCATTTCTATATGAAAAAAAGTGTTCACAACTAAAAATTAATACAATACAATACTCACACTTAACATGTGCTTGCTGTCTTAGGAAGAATACACCAAGAGTTATGATATTGGCCCACAATGTCAAAGTATCTTCTTTATTACCTGATCATATACATAACAAAAAAGATATATTTGACAATAGACTGTACTTGTGTATTAGCTCTTTTCTACAATACAATTATAGTAACTCTCAGTTGAAGTATCATAATATCATGTGCAAAGTAGGGTCAATTGAATTTAATTTGGTTTCTTGGAATCAAAAGATTTTCTACATCTGAAGTTCCAAATAAAAAAACTTATGTATTTTTATTATCTCATGAAAAGTTGGCACATAGAGATTATTCTTTAATCCAGTTTAAAAAAAAAAGACAAAAAATCACATACATCCCTGCTAAAATCTACTCCAATTTATGTATTTTCTGAAAATATTTTTTTTTTTAGAAAATGGCTAATGAAACTGTTAAATTCAGTATGTGCAGGAAATTCACATTCTATATCTATGACTATTATTCAGAGAAATGTGAATATTTGAAATTTCACTACAGTATAAGCATGCTTCCCCACAAAGGTGGTCTTGAAACTTAAATGCCATTTCTGAATAAAAGATGATATAAAAATAATATTATCTACTTAATCAGAACAGTCTGCTGAGCTTAATATCAGGCTATTAAATTTTTCAAAATGCAATCCTAGGAAATATATTCTTAAGGAAAATTTTTTAAAAATCTAGAATTTAAAACTGATACTAATAAGCTAAAATATTGATAGGTTATGGAGCTCCTTTTTGAGATATTTAATTTTTTTTAAATGTGGATAGTGTCCACATAAGGACACAGATGACGCCCCCGCTTGCATATCATATAGTTATTAAGGGACATAACTGAAGAACGGTAAAAGTGACGCAACCCAAATTTGAACTTGATCTGAGTTTTGTGGTAATAAGCATTGTGTGTAAGTCTCATAACATTTGGTTGAGGCTAACTTAAGAAGAGAACAGAAACGAAAAATTCGGCAATTTTTCTATTTGTAAACACGCATAACACTAGAATGGTTGTGTATAAGTTTTATAACATTTGGTTGAGACAAACTAAAAAATTCAGCAATTTTTATGTTTATAAAAGGACATAACTCAAGAATGGTAAAAGTGTCGCCACCAAATTTCGTACTTAATCTGTATTATGTAGTAATAAGCATTGTGTATAAGTTTCATAACATTTGGTTGAGGCAAACTGAAGTTAGAAAACGGAAACAAAAAATTTGTACTTGATCTTACTTTTGTGGTAATGAATATTGTGTATAGGTTTCATAATGTTTGGTTGGGGCAAACTTAAGTTACAGAATGGAAACTAAAAATTTTGCAATCTTTCAATTTATAAAGGGGCATAACTCTAGAATGGTTAAAGTGATGCCACTAAAATTCAAACTTGATCTGTGTTTTGTGGTAATAAGCATTGTGTAACTCAATAATGGTTAAAGTGACACTACCCAAATTCAACTTGATCTGTGTTTATCAGTGGAAGTCAAAATTAAACATTGCATTGTATAAAGCATTGATTGTAGTTGATTCAACTAAAATCATGGACAAAGGAAGATAACTCCAATTTTAAAAATTACTTGATATTAAGAAGAAAATAAAAATTTTGCAATTTTTCCATTTATAAAGGGGCATAACTCTAGAACGGTTAAAGTAAAAGTGACGCCACCAAAATTCAAACTTGATCTGTGTTTTGTGGTAATAAGCATTGTGTATAAGTTTCATAACATTTGGTTGAGGCAAACTTAAGTTAGAGAACAGAAACTAAAAATTTAGAAATTTTTCCATTTATAAAGGGGCATAACTCTAGAATGGTTAAAGTGATGCCACTAAAATTCAAACTTGATCTGTGTTTTGTGGTAATAAGCATTGTGTATAAGTTTCATAACATTTGGTTGAGGCAAACTCAAGTTAGAGAACGTACGTACGTACGTACGTACAGACGGACAAGGGTAAAACTTAATGCCCCCAACGCTACGGTGGGGGCATAAAAATGGCAGGAAAAGGCTGACTTGGGCTTTTACCTTATATTTGCCTTGGTATTATTTAGGTCTCAAATTGAAAGAAATCTAGAATTTGCTTAAATTTTGGTAAATGACCTTTTATGAGCTATTGAAGTCTTATATGAAAAGAAAAATGGGTGTTATGGGGCAAAATATTTTACCCTGTATAGTAGAAAATAAACTGTTAACACAGAGATATGTCTCGCCTTTTAGTAATTTTGATAATGCAAATGTTGAAATTAAAAATAGCAATACTTTAACACATAAGTAATGCAAATATTCTAAGTCAATGAACCATGACTGAAGGTACATGGCTAAACAATCTCCATGGAAATGAGACTTGCCAATGCTAATACAACTGCATACCAAATATCATTGACTAATCATAAGTCGTTCCCTTTAAACAAACCTAAACACAAACATTAACTTGTAAACTATGTAATGTTTCAAAGTCAATGAACCATGATGAGGGCGTGGGGCTATATAATCTCCATGGAAACAAAACTTGCAAATGCCATTAAATTTGCATACTAAATATCATTGACTTAACATTAGTGGTTCATCTTAAACTCATCTAATCACAAACTAATACATGTAAACTAAGCAAAAGTTTCAAAGTCAATAAACCATGACTGAGGGGGTGGGGCCAAATATTCTTCATGGACTGACCTTATCACAAACTAATACATGTAAACTAAGCAAAAGTTTCAAAGTCAATAGACCATGACTAAGGGGGCGGAGTCAAATAATCTCCATGGAAATGAGATATGCCAATGCTTATACAACTCCATACCAAATATCATTGACCTACCACTAGTGGTTCAACATAAACTGACCTAATCACAAACTAAAACATGTAAACTAAGCAAGAGTTTCAAAGTCAATAGACCATGACTGAGGGGGCAGGGCCAAATAATCTCCATGGAAATGAGATGTGCCAATGCTAATACAACTGCGTACCAAATATCATTTACCTACCACTAGTGGTTCACCATAAAGTAGACCTAATCACAAACTAATACATTGTTGACATCACCGCCAGAAACAGCATACCCATGTCTGGCTTTTTGACTCTGAGGAGTCCGAACATCTGACAAAAATTCCTAAACCTGACCTAAATACATCCTTAAGTTACAAAAAATGGTTTCGTTGAATAAAATCTTACAACTGCTACTGTGGATTGGTTATTATTTGTGGGATACAAATTTAGTGGATTTTGTGGGTAATGGTAAACCACAAATATAAATGTTCAACAAATTACAAACTTTCTATCTTCTTTAATGCAGACTTCATCATAACCAGGAAATCAAATACCCATGAAAATCAAAGTCAATCATGAAAAATAAATGAATCCACATTATGTGTGAAATGTTAGTCAGTCCTCACTGATTGAAATGTTAGTCAGTACTTACTGATTGAAATGTTAGTCAGTACTTACTGATAAGTTTTGCACATTTGAATATACTTTGTGTAACTTTATGTAATTCCTCATTCTCTGCTATCAATTCTGGTTCCAAGACAACTAAGTTTAGGAAAACTCCACATAAAGTTTCCATACTTCTCTGTAAATAGAGATTAAATCTATTTGTCAATGTAACAAAGCTATGGGAATTGACTAAAATCATAATTTAGCTTCAGATGATCAGTTTGCTATTCAGTAAAGTACAAAAAAATGGTTGGGTGATAAAGCCATGTATCTGAAGCTGATTTTTTTGGCATTCATATGTGGTTGAATAGGACTGTATTCTATTAAATTAAAATTTTTATACTTTAGTTTGCTCCATGTATTTTCGCACTATATCTTTAAAAAATCACTCTGTTATATTTTACTACATGAATATTTGTTCAGAAGATGCATTTAAAAAACTTTGCCACTGGACACTAACCAGTCAGAAATCAATAAAATAAAATGCAGTTTTTGCCAAATAAAGTAGATTTTTTTTCTAACTTTGGAATATACATTTAAAATAGTTGAAAATATATGCATGTGAATTTTTTTTCTCTCAAAATTACATCTTACCAAAATATCCTCTTCAAATTTTTCTTCTAAACCATCAACACAATTTTTAAAGTAAAGAGATAAAACAGAATGTAAATCATTGTCTAATAAAATCTTTCTGGACAAATCTTCTGCCGTCATGTGACAAAACCCTGGTAGTAAAAATCCAATCAAATCTACATTGCGGATATTAATGTCCCCTGATACTGACATACCACTACTGCTAGAGTTAGAACACACAGATTGATCACTTTTGTTTATTTCTAACTTTTCAATTTCATCACTACTTGTACATGTGGAATCACTGTTCAATGAGTCTTGATTAACTAAGCATTTATGATCAGAATTGTCTGAATCTGAAACATGATAAGAAGATGAGTCTTTGACATTGTCAGATGTAATATCCCTATGATTATCACTACTATCCTTGCTGAGGTCAACATTTTGTGGAATGATACTATTTTCTGTTGTTTCCTGAGTGATAGTACAAGACTCCAATTCTGATGATAAAGTTGATTCCGAATGATCCTCTGTGTCACTTTTGAATTTTACAGATTTTTTCTTTAGAGAGAGTCTCTTAGTCTTTGTGCATTTCAGTTGACACTTACTTAAAAAATAAAAAAAAATAAAGAGAAAATATTAACATATATTATATGTTATACGGCTCAGGGAATATAAACCCTAAGCCGGGAATGTCACATTATATACCCTGTCTGAGACCTGAATAACACATATATTACGGAATTACCCCTGCCTTAATGTATTTTTCCAGTTACTGTACCAGATATTTGTTAAACATTCCCAATGCAGTATATATATTCATTACATGTTTTTGTGTTTCTTAATGTTTTGAGTTATTCATATAAATGCACTTTTCTTCATCTTGATAAACATTTTTTTTCGTTAAGAATATTTTTTCAACAAATTTTTAGATTTCTTGTTACTGTTTGTATGTTTGTTTTACTATTTTTTACAACAAATATAGTGAAAACCCAACCTGATATTTTCCGCATACGTTAAGGATTTTGTAATTTGCTGTGAAAATAATTTTATCATTCATGTCATAATTTATAATAACACTTTAAAACATTAATTTTATGTATTTGGAGTGTAAATTGCGTGATTTTAAATTAAAAACGTATTATTGACGGATGCACGTCATTATATTCCTTCCGTGAGCCTCTGACATTCTTTAAGTGTTCTGTATAGCTTTAGATTACGTCACATAGTAACAGGTGTTATGATGACGTTGAGGTTCCAATTGGGGTAAAAACATTGTATATACCCTGGCAGTTTCATGAATATATACTGACATCTCAGTGTTGTTATCCAATCACAAAACTCGACACATTTGTAATCCGTAATATATATATATATATATAGGTGAAGAGGCTTGATGTTTTTTTGTAAGTAATTTCAGATTGTTTAGTTTGTTTTTCAATGTTTTTTTATCCACAGAGTTTTTTTGAAGATAATCATCCAAATATCTGTTTTTTTAATGGCTTTACTTCAGAAATAGGTAGAAAGAAGTTATTTTAATTCCTAAAATTGTATGTGCAGTACTGGTTTGTTAAATCTGACTAAAAATATCAACCATCAAACAGAAAGAAAAAAAAACTTTTGACATCCTTTTGGCTTGGCAGAATACACACCCACCTCATAGTCATGTCCAGACTTATTAGGGATATTAAATCAAAGGCATGTGTTTGAAGGATTACAGTTTACTGCATATTAAATAAAATGCTCCGCAGGGCGCAGCTTGATACGACCGCAGAGGTCGAACCCTGAACAGTTGGGGGAAGTATGGACACAACATTCAAGCTTGATACAGCTTTGGATTTGGATTGTGATTAAATATTTGACACAGCATAGGTTTCTAACACAGATTGAATGTGGTCTAAGAACTTAAAAATTTTAAATTGGACATTCACCTATTATGGTCCAATATCCAAAATCTAAATACATGGTTAGATTCAGCATATCAAAGAACCCCAAGAATTCAATTTTTGATGAAATCAAACAAAGTTTAATTTCGGACCCTTTTGACCTCAATGTGGACAAAGTTGATAACGGGGCCCAAAAATCAAAAATCTAAATACATGGTTAGATTCAGCATATCAAAGAACCCCATATATTCAATTTTTGTTGAAATCAAACAAAGTTTAATTTTGGACCCCGATTTGGACCAACTTGAAAACTAGGCCCATAATCAAAAATCTAAATACATGTTTAGATTCAGCATATCAAAGAACCCTAAGAATTCAATTTTTGTTAAAATCAAACTAAGTTTAATTTTGGACCCTTTGGACCTTAATGTAGACCAATTTGAAAACGGAACCAAAAATTAAGAATCTAAATACACGGTTAGATTCGGCATATCAAAGAACCCCAATAATTCAATTTTTGATGAAATCAAACAAAGTTTAATTTTGGACCCTTTTGACCTCAATGTGGACAAAGTTGATAACGGGGCCCAAAAATCAAAAATCTAAATACATGGTTAGATTCAGCATATCAAAGAACCCCATATATTCAATTTTTGTTGAAATCAAACAAAGTTTAATTTTGGACCCCGATTTGGACCAACTTGAAAACTGGGCCCATAATCAAAAATCTAAATACATGTTTAGATTCAGCATATCAAAGAACCCTAAGAATTCAATTTTTGTTAAAATCAAACTAAGTTTAATTTTGGACCCTTTGGACCTTAATGTAGACCAATTTGAAAACGGAACCAAAATTTAAGAATCTAAATACACAGTTAGATTCGGCATATCAAAGAACCCCAATAATTCAATTTTTGATGAAATCAAACAAAGTTTAATTTTGGACCCTTTGGACCTCAATGTGGACCAATTTAAAAACGGGGCCCAAAATCCAAAAACTAAATACACGGTTATATTCAGCATATTAAAGAACCCCATGAAATCAAGAATAAAACCCCATTGAAATTGGTCAAGAAATAAGCAATTTATAGGAAGTATCTTCTTTTGCACAATCCTGTGCTATTAAATATTTCTTGCTATTGCGCAATACTGTACAATTGACAATTTCTTGCTATTGCGCAATATTGTGCTATTGGATATTTCTTGCTATTGCGCAATACTGTGCAATTGAAGATTTCTTGCTATTGCGCAATACTGTGCAATTGAAGATTTCTTGCTATTGTGCAATACTGTGCAATTGAAAATTTCTTGGTATTGCACAATACTTATTATATAATAATTTACACATCCTGTTTGGTGTGTATCTCCTACCATATCATTATTATTTGATTTTAAATATAAATCAGAAATAACCAACTTAAAATGGAAAATTTTAAAAGAAACAAAAAAGGAAAAAAAGAAAAAAAAGGAAAAAAAAATAAATCCCCCCCCAAAATTTTTTGAACCCCCATTATGATTCATCACCCCCAAACTCAATCCCAGCCTTCCCTTTGTGGTATGGTACCTTGCAGTACAATTTCAGAGAGATCCATACACTTGAACACAAGTTATTGTCTGGAAACTAGAAAAAAATGTGTTTTTTGGCCCCTTTTTGGCCCCAAATTCCTAAACGTTTAGGGCAATTACCCCCAAACTCAAACCCAGCTTTCCCTTTGTGATATGGAACCTTGTAGTACAATTTCAGAAAGATCCATACACTTACACACAAGTTATTGTCATGAAACTAGAAAAATGCTTGTTTTTTGCCCCTTTTTTGGCCCCTAATTCCTAAAATTTGGAGGCAATTACCCCCAAAATCAATCCCAGCATTCCTTTAGTGATATGGAACCTTGTGGTACAATGTCAGAGAGATCCATACACTTACACACAAGTTATGTCTGGAAGTTACAAAAATGCTTATTTTTGGCCCCTTTTTGGCCCCTAATTCCTTTACTGTTATTACCATAACCCCCAAAATCAATCCCAACCTTCCTTTTGTGGTATTGAACCTTGTGGTAAAATTTCATAAAGATCCATTCACTTAAACTAAAGTTAGAGTGCGAAAACCAATGTGTCTTCGGACGACGCCGGACGACGACGACGACGCCGGACGACGACGACGCCAACGTCATACCAATATACGACCACAAAAATTTTTTTGCGGTCGTATAAAAACCAGTTTGTTTGTGACCTATACAAAACTCAATTTCTGACCCTTCTCAATACAATCTTATTTCCAGCTGCAGTCGAAATTATCCCCTCTTTCCCCAATTCTTCACTTTTCTGATCATTCAATTTTATTCATACTGATTCCATGTCCTCACCAAGAATATTCTTAAATATTTGTCACTGGCAACCCAAAACAAATTTGTAATGAAATGGATGCATTTGTATTACTTTTGATTGATGCCTGTGAGGCATCAAGGATTAGTTACTGACATCTTACCATAATTTAAGAATAAAAGGTAGAATTTCTTGTACTCTTGCTTTGAGAGCTGAAGTCTCCTCTGCTACCCATGATCCTAATACTCTAACTGAAGCTAGTACTATTTGACTGGGATCTACTCTCTGTAAACAAACAGGATAATACTTTTTTCTAACACTGTTTAAAAATAGAAACATTTATGTTTTGATATTTCAAGTTAATACATTATCATTAAAACATCACAACAACACCAGTAATAATATCTATTTTTAACAAGTGTATCAACCAATACATAGCATCTAATCATATCTTACGATGCAAAAAGCATTGCGTTTCTTTTTCACTGTAAAAAATTAAATAAAATTGGGAATTCATATATTTAATCCACCTATACCTGTATGTCTTTGTTTAAATAAATCCCAATATACTTATACGTCTTGATGAGAATGCATAAAACATACAACTGTGTGAATTTGCAGTTCATCAAACTATGTAATTGTGCTAAAACCAATGTTGCAACCCCCTCAGATAAAGCTGACCTTAGTGATTTTGACTGTTATTTTAGGTCTATTTGTTTTGATGCTCTCAAACATTTTATATATTTTGGCTATCCAAACTTTGGCTCAGGATCATACATGATGAAGGTTATTCCAGGAAGATATGTTCTGTGCATCCAAATACTGTGGATTCATTTTTATTCGTTGGGTACAAATTTTCGTGGATTTTGTTGGTATAGGTGAACCAAGAAATCAAATGTTAAACAAAGTAAACATTTCTCATGGGGTGGTTGTATGCAAACTTTGGCAAATCATGAAATCATGTATCAACGAAAATATATTTTTTTTATAATCCATGAAAATTGATATCCACAAAAATAAATGAATCCACAGTAATATGATTTGTTATTTACCTGTATTTCAAGTTCCGACTGCTCCCTTAGATAGAATATAACTGAATTAAATGCTCCTTCCATGGCTGAGTGAAGCTGTAAAACCTGGTTTTCATCCAATTTTAATGATGGAGCAGAGGTCATGTGACAAATTATTAATTCTAATAAGTTATAACAGGACACTAAAGTATCTGCTTTAGTCATTATCTGAAAAAAAACATTAACATGACATTTTTTGACATATAGAAATAAAACTAGAAATCATGAAATCAGATATCCCTGTGTTTTACTAAATCCCAATTTTTCAGAGAGGCAAAGGTTACAACTGTACACAAATTAAGCCTGTATATTATCAGTCAGGAGCATTACTTAAACAAGTAACTTTTTAAATTACCTATACAAGTAATGTTGAAAATGAGGCTATATTAAATATTACTTATATAAGTAACTTTTCTAAATATTATTTTTATAAGTGTTCATTCGTACAGATTTTACTAGATTTAACAAATTTTCATAGTCATCTGGTTATTATTCCCATGAAATATAATAAAATGCTCGGCTTGGCGCAGCTTGATACGACCGCAGAGGTCGAACCCTGAACAGATGGGGCAAGTATGGACACAACATTCAAGCTTAATACAGCACTGAATTTGAATTGTGATTAAATATTTGACACAGCATAGGTTTCTGACACAGAATGAATGTGGTCTAAGAACTTAAATTTTTTTAATTTACCTATTCAAACCATATCATTATTATTTGCTTTTATATATAATTCAGAAATAACCAATTTAAAATGGAAAATTTTAAAGAAACCCCCCCCCCCCCCCCCCCCAATTTTTTGAACCCCCTTATGATTCATCACCCCCAAACTCAATCCCAGCCTTCCTTTTGTGATATGGTACCTTGCAGTACAATTTCAGAGAGATCCATACACTTGAACACAAGTTATTGTCTGGAAACTAGAAAAATGCGTTTTTTGGCTCCTTTTTGGCCCCAAATTCCTAAACATTTAAGGCAATTACCACCAAACTCAAACCCAGCCTTCCCTTTGTGATATGGAACCTTGCAGTACAGTTTCAGAAAGATCCATAGACTTTCACACAAGATATTGTCATGAAACTAGAAAAATGCTTGTTTTTTGCCCCTTTTTTGCCCCCTAATTCCTAAAATTTTGAGGCAATTACCCCCAAAATCAATCCAAGCATTCCCTTTGTGATATGGAACCTTGCAATACAATTTCAGAGAGATCCATACACTTGAACACAAGTTATTGTCTGGAAACTGGAAAAATGCTGTTTTTTGGCCCCTTATTCCTAAACGTTTTGGGCAATTACCCCCAAACTCAATTCCAGCTTTCCCTTTGTGATATGGAACCTTGTAGTACAATTTCAGAAAGATCCATAGACTTACACACAAGCTATTGTCATGAAACTAGAAAAATGCTTGTTTTCTGCCCCTTTTTTTGCCCCCTAATTCCTAAAATTTTGAGGCAATTACCCCTAAAATCAATCCAAGCATTCCTTTTGTGATATGGAACCTTGTGGTACAATGTCAGAGAGATCCATACACTAACACACATGTTATGTCTGGAAGTTACAAAAATGCTTATTTTTGGCCCCTTTTTGGCCCCTAATTCCTTAACTGTTGGTTCCATAACCCCCAAAATCAATCCCAACCTTCCTTTATTGAACCTATTGAACCTTATGGTAAAATTTCATAGAGATCCATTCACTTAAACTAAAGTCAGAGTGCGAAAACCAATGTGTCTTCGGACGACGACGACGACACCAACATCATACCAATATACGACCACAAATTTTTTTTGCGGTCGTATATACTTATCCTCCTGAAACACTAATTGCCTTCCCGACGCACTTATCTTTCATATTGAAGCTTCTTGGTCAAAGATTGGTCTCTTGGGACTATCAAAATATCATTTTCCTTGAAAATCTTGAAGGAAGACAGATATAAATAGACAGAAACTTGGGATTTAATTAAGACTTAAAGTAATTGATAATGTGCAACCAAAAACAATTGCATATGTTCCTTAAATAATTGTAATTACTAATTCTTTCAAAGATGTATAAAAAAACTTATTCCAGTAATATTTTTGTCATTATTTTTAAAGTAACTTTTTATCTCTATACTCCTCTAAAATTTAATAAATTCTTTCTTTTATGTAATAAAAGGATAAACAATTTCATGAAAACTATATTTAGTCCATGCTTTCATTGAAATATAAAATAACTTTATTGAGTAATTGTAATCATTTTTAAAAACAAAAATTACCTATATACATGTAAGTAACTAAGAAAAATAACTTGTTTAAGTAATGCCCCTGACTGATTATGCTCCATGATATTGTGTGAAAATTGTAATAGAATCGATCAACCAATACTTTGTCGTTTAAGATGTGACAGGATGACAAGGAAATAAAACGATCACAATATACCCCGAACTTTCAGGCATAGGTATAATGTCAGACTACTGTGGATTCATTATTATTTGTTTACTACCAATTTTTGTGGATTTTGTTGTTACCTGGGAACCACGAATTCCAATGTCCAACGAATAACAAATTTTCTATAGGAATTTATGCAGACTTGTCAAAACCATGAAATCAAATATCCACGAAATTGCAAGTTTTCTTCCATCCATGAAAATTGGTACCCAAGAAAATAAATGAATCCACAGTAACAAATTTTACCGAATGATCTCTATGGGGTGAAAAATTACTTATAAATGTTACTTCGTTGTTCTGAAAGCTTTGAGAATAATCATATACTAGAATCTTGGAACAATTTTCTAACTAACAGCAAAGCTTTAACACAAACTCAACGACTATCTAAAAAGAAAACTATTGTAAACCTAGCAAATGATACAATACTTTTTTCTACCAGATATATTAGCAAATCACAATCACATAAATATTAGGTTATTTCAGCTCTTCTATAAAAGCATGCAAAGCAAACCTTTGATCAACTTGCTTGCTATGTTTGCTTGGATGTTTGCAAACAATAGGTAGGCGGAGTTTCAGTCTGTTTTGTATATACTGGAATTTGATTAGACAAAAAAAATTGACATGCAATGAAGTTAATGTTTATTGTCCAATCAAATTCCAGTATATAGTAAACAGACTGAAACAGATTACCTACCTTTTGTTTACAAACATCCAAATAAACATAGCAAGTTGATCAAAGGTTTGCTTTGCACCCTACCCCTAAAAAAAAGGTGTTGATATTTTTTCCAGCTAAAAGCAAAGCTTTGACACTAACTCAACAACTATCTAAAAAGAAAACTATTGTAAACCTATCAGATCATACAATATTTTTTCTACCCAATATTTATGCAAACCTGTATTTTCACCTGATTCACTCAGTTTGTCATTTGTTTGACACTTTCCATTCAGAAGAAAGATTATACAAAAACATTTGAACTTATATACATCCTAGTTGATCGATCATCTTTAGATCTTGAGTTTAATATGCTATTTACCAACCACTACTGAACATCACAGAAGTTCTTGTAAAATTTTGCAAGAGAAAATATCTGATGCAATAATGGAAAAGTGATTGTATGTGAACTGTTCAAGTGTCACAGATTCCAAAATAGCGATAAGATCGATTTGAGTTTTACTGTACCTGATCTGGAGTAAGATTCTCTAATGAGATTCTAACTTCTATGCAGCTTAGATGGATTATGACCAGTAACAGCTTACAATCATCTCTATTTGGTGGTAATATACTTTCTACACCTAGCTTGTCAAGGACACTTGATGCCAGTCTAAGGGCAGGGTCTCTCTGAGGTTGACCTATGGTAAAAATGACAAAAATATTATAATAAAATCAAGAAAGAGTTGTGTGCCTTTGTAATTGCTTTTCATAATATTGTATGTTGAAATATTTGAATATCTTTTTCTTTTTCACATTCGGGTAACAATTGTAATCCAATATAAAAATAAACTGCTTCGCTGAGAGCAGCTGGATACACCCGCAGAGGTCCAACCCTGAACAGTTGGGGCAAAAATGGACACAATATTCAAGCTTGATACAGGTCTGAATTTGGATTTTAATTAAATATTTGACATATTATAGGTTTCTGAATAAATGTAGTCAAAGAACTTGAAATTGGTTATATGAATTGAATTTATACTCAATTAAAGATTTCTTGCTGTTGTTCGATACACTGTGCTGTTGCGCAATACTATAAACAAATAAAGTTCAATTAATTCTCAATGTCATATTAGAAATTTATGAAAATGTAAAGGGAGCTTACATCAATACATACAAACAAATCGCCAAAGTTTCATATGAATTGCTGAAAGCATTTATGAGTATTTGTCCGAAAACTGGAAAATCCCCCCTTTTTTTATGAATAAAACCCTGTAACTTGGAAACGTTAAATTTAAAATTTATAAAAATCGAAAGGGAGCTCATGTCAATAGATATAAACAATTCACCACAATTTCTTGCAAGTTGGTGAAAGCATTCTTGACTTATTGTCCAAAAATTGGAAAATCCCCCCTTTTTTAATGAATAAAACCCCATAACTCGGAAACGTAAAATCTAAATTTTATAAAAAACAAAAGGGAGCTCACATCAATAGATATAAACAATTCACCAAAGTTTTATGCAAATTGATAAAAGCATTTTTGAGTAAATGTCGGACATGTTGACGACAGACAGACGAACGGACAGAGGTATACCATAATACGTCCCGTAAACGGGCGTATAATAAGAAAATGTGGTATATTTGCCGATGAGACAACTTTCCACCAGAGACCAAATGACATAAATGTTAACAGCTATAGGTCACATAATGCAGTTTTCAGGAAAATTATTTGGTCCATTATCTTTTCAAGCTGAAAAACAAAAACATTGACATAAACTGACCTAATTTACTGGTAAACATATCTGCCAATGCATGCACCAAAGATTTAAACCATGTTCTCTGTAGTGACTTCTTAGCCTGGAAATAAATAATATCAAGCATTCAATAATATAATATATTATTTTCTCAGAATAATTTTTTCATGTAGTATGTTAACACATTTCTGTCTTGTTTTATATCATCATTTGATAAAATGTCCATGTATATCTAATAATATTGAAAACTATACTGCATTCTTTCAAATTTTAACACAACACGAAATATTAGGACTAAAAAAATCTTCAATGATATGGCCCACAACTTGTTAGTTTTTCACAGCATAAATTAGAAGAAATTTTGGCAAAAACAGTGTCTGAAAGAGTCACATAAACAATGTAAACATTTGAATTCCATGTTTTTTCCACATTAGGGTATAATGGGGTTCAAATGCTATGTTAATTATGTAGACGTAGAGGTCAGAGGAACATAATCTTTTTGAAAATTTATTGCTACAGAAAAACATCTGAATATTTGATAAATGATTAGTTATTCAATCTCAGATCCATGTGCAGAATTTTATTATGGTTATTATAATAAATCTTTTCTAAAATAATAAGCAGCCTCAAACTTTTGAATAGTGGTCAGATTGAGAACATTAAATCTAATGTACTGAGTAAGGAGAGTGCTATTCTCTATGCATGAGAAAGAACCTATACTTTCAACTATTTAAGGAATACCAAGGGGACATGTGATAGAACAAAATTTCCACCTCTATCAACCCTCTACTCTATTCAAAGTTTCAGACCCTACTTCTTTGATTCATTGTTAGACTTGCCTTCTTTCTGAATAGGCATTTAGTATTTGCTATTGGATGTGGAGGAAACAGCAAGCAAATCAATCAATTTTTTGATATTTTGATACTATAGAAAATAAATGGAATGTAAAATTAATTTAGTCAGACAGTATATTTACAACTATTCCATGGCAAAATAAAATGCTCCGCTGGGCGCAGCTTGATACGACCGCAGAGGTCAAACCCTGAACAGTTGGGGCAAGTATGGACACAACATTCAAGCTTGATACAGCTCTGAATTTGGATTGTGATTAAATATTTGACACAGCATAGGTTTCTGACTCAGACTGAATGTGGTCTAAGAACTTAAATTTTTTTAATTTACCTATTATGGTCCAATATCCAAAATCTAAATACATGGTTAGATTCAGCATATCAAAGAATCCAAAGAATTCAATTTTTGATGAAATCAAACAAAGTTTCATTTTGGACCCTTTTGACCTCAATGTGGACCAATTTGATAACGGGGCCCAAAAATCAAAAAACATGGTTAGATTCAGCATATCAAAGAACCCCATATATTTAATTTTTGTTGAAATCAAACAAAGTTTAATTTTGGACCCCAATTTGGACCAACTTGAAAACTGGGCACAAAATCAAAAATCTAAATACATGTTTAGATTCAGCATATCAAAGAACCCCATAAATTCAATTTTTGTTAAAATCAAACTAAGTTTAATTTTTGACCCTTTGGACCTCAATGTTGACCAATTTGGTAACGGGGCCCAAAAATCAAAATACATGGTTAGATTCAGCATATCAAAGAACCCCATATATTCAATTTTTGTTGAAATCAAACAAAGTTTAATTTTGGACCCCAACTTGGACCAACTTGAAAACTGGACCATAATAAAAAATCTAAACACATGTTTAGATTCAGCATATCAAAGAACCCCAAGAATTCAATTTTTGTTAAAATCAAACTAAGTTTAATTTTGGACCCTTTGGACATTAATGTAGACCAATTTAAAAAACGGGATCCAAAATTAAACATCTAAATACACAGTTAGATTTGGCATATCAAAGAACCCCAATAATTCAATTTTTGATGAAATAAAACAAAGTTTAATTTTGGACCCTTTTGACCTCAATATGAACCAATTTGATAGCGGGGCCCACAAATAAAAAATCTAAACACATGGTTAGATTCAGCATATCAAAGAAACCCATATATTCAATTTTTGTTGAAATCAAATAAAGTTTAATTTTGGACCCCAATTTGGACCAACTTGAAAACTGGGCCCAAAATCAACAAGAGTGCACACACTGAAATGTCTCGCCTTCTTTACTAACCATTGATTTTATGTTGATAGTTCTTAATATAAAGCTTTACTACAAGTAACACATAAACTTAACATGAACCAAGAAAATGAGGTCAAGGTCAGATAAACCAAACGAGAAATACATGTACACCTTACAATCATTCAATAAACCAAACATAGTTGACCTATTACTTATAGTTTCTAAGAAACAGTCTTAACCAAGAAAACTTAACATTGACCAATGAACCATGAAAATGAGGTCAAGGTCAGATGAACCTTGCCAGACAGACATGTACACCTTACAATCAATTTATGCATTAAATATAGTTGACCTATTGCTTATAGTATCTATGAAACAAACTTAACCATGAAAACTTAATATTGACTAATGAACCATGAAAATGAGGTCAAGGTCAGATGATACCTGCCAGACAGACATATACACCTTACAATCCTTCCATACAACAAATATAGTTGATCTATTGCTTATAGTTGAAGAAAAACAGATCAAAACACAAAAACTTAACACTGAGAAATGAAACGTGAAAATGAGGTCAAGGTCAAATAAAACCTGCGAGACTGACATGTACATCATAAAATATATCCATACAACAAATATAGTTGACCTATTGCATATAGTATTAGAAAAAAAGACCAAAACTCAAAAACTTAACTTTGACCACTGAACCATGAAAATGAGGTCAAGGTCAGATGACACCTACCAGTTGGACATGTACACCTTACAATCATTCCATATACCAAATATAGTAGACCTACTGCTTATAGTATCTGATATATGGACTTGACCACGAAAACTTAACCTTGTTCACTGATCCATGAAATGAGGTCGAGATCAAGGATCCGGAAATTTTTCCAGACAATTTCGGTCATTTTGAGATGTTTGAAAAGTTGGTGCCCCTTTTCAAATTGTCGATATCAACTTGACTATATTCATAGCATCAAGGAACATGACGAACTTGTATTGCTGTTTCATCGCATTTACTAAGTAAATGTCTTACCATTACCATGAAGGACAGTTTAGGGAAGGCAACAGTCTAAAACTGAAATGATTTTAATGACTCAAAATGGTTAATTTCTCAGACATTGCTTACGTTTCTTTCGATTTGACAAAAGTTAAAACCGGAAGTTTGCGATATTTTAAAGTACGAATAATTCCGGATTCATTTTTGGGATTTGTTTTGTTTATCAAATTGACAGGAAATCACTGGCTTTTTATGGCTTTTTTATTTTATTACCTTTAAAAGTGTTTGAATATAACAGATAATAGTTGCACTCGTTTAATTTAGCATGAAATTAATTTGCATTTTACGATTAAATATTAAATTTGCTGAAGACAATTTCACGCATGCGTATTACATAGTAAATAAAGCACATGTGTTACTCATGAAAAAATACTTTTTTCTACGTAAATTTAGATTTAATTTTTAAATCAGAATTGATGACTGTCTTTGATGAAAAGTAAATAAATAATGAATACACTTGTCAGGGAACTTTAATGTTTTAAAGATATTATTCTGGGCTTGTGATCACTGTCAGGTGTGAATTAAAACCACAGGTAAAAAGTGATTAGCGATCATTAGCCAATGTTTCCCGGAGGCATTGATATAGATATTAGAAGGGCCCTCAGGATTATCAAACTACTGTAGTGGCAGTTTTATTACAGGAAAGGGATTATTAACAAAAACAAGTGATCACAAGTGCAAAATGGCGATTAAGAAATCCGATTTCAAACATTGAGTCAATGAAATGACCGAAATTACTTCTGTAAAAAAATTAAATTTGTCCTAAATCCCAATTACTCGTTTAGGACAAAAAGTTTCATCTTAGGACATGACTGGAAAATATGACTGTTTCCGGACCCTTGGGACTCGAGATCAAATGAAAATTGTCTGACAGGCATGAGGACCTTGCAAGGTACGCACATACTAAATATAGTTATCCTATTACTCATAATAAGAAAGAAATTAACATTACAAAATATCTTGACTTTTTTTTCAAGTAGTCACTGAACCATGAAAATGAGGTCAAGGACAATGGATATATGACAGACGGAAACTTCGTAACATAAGGCATCTATATGTATACAAAGTATGAAGCATCCAGGTCATCTAGCTTCTAAAATATAAAGCTTTTAAAAAGTTAGCTAATGCCGCTGCCGTAAAAGCCGCCGCCGGATCACTATCCCTATGTCGAGCTTTCTGCGACAAAAGTCGCAGGCTCGACAAAAATCTAAATACATGTTTGAATTCAGCATATCAAAGAACCCCATATATTCAATTTTTGTTAAAATCAAACTAAGTTTAATTTTGGACCCTTTGGACATTAATGTAGACCAATTTGAAAACTGGACCCAAAATTAAAAATCTAAATACACGGTTAGATTTGGCATATCAAAGAACCCCAATAATTCAATTTTTGATGAAATAAAACAAAGTTTAATTTTGGACCCTTTTGACCTCAATATGAACCAATTTGATAGCGGGGCCCACAAATAAAAAATCTAAATACATGGTTAGATTCAGCATATCAAAGAACCCCATATATTCAATTTTTGTTGAAATCAAATAAAGTTTAATTTTGGACCCCAATTTGGACCAACTTGAAAACTGGGCCCAAAATCAACAAGAGTGCACACACTGAAATGTCTCGCCTTCTTTACTAACCATTGATTTTATGTTGATAGTTCTTAATATAAAGCTTTACTACAAGTAACACATAAACTTAACATGAACCAAGAAAATGAGGTCAAGGTCAGATAAACCAAACGAGAAATACATGTACACCTTACAATCATTCAATAAACCAAACATAGTTGACCTATTGCTTATAGTTTCTAAGAAACAGTCTTAACCAAGAAAACTTAACATTGACCAATGAGCCATGAAAATGAGGTCAAGGTCAGATGAACCTTGCCAGACAGACATGTACACCTTACAATCAATTTATGCATTAAATATAGTTGA